CCTTTCCGGCCCCCTTCCTCACCATCAAAGTCATGGCCGGCAATGACTTGAGTTTAGTGATGGCGTCACTGAACTCCATGTGCAACACGTCGACGCCGTTCACGGCTATGATCTGATCGCCCACTTCTAGCCCACTCTGGGCCGCGATTTCGCCGCTTTTCACGCTTTGCACGAAAATACCTGTCCGTTTGGGATGGCCATAAAAATTATTATTATTATCAGGGTATTAATTCAGTAAAATAACATGAAGCTTTGATACGCCAATTACTTGATAAATAGTTAATATTATTATACTAGGATTGTATTTTTATTTAGTAACAGTTCGTAGTGTTTAATACTTAATTGATTTAAATTACCAAGATAATAAAATATAAAATATTCAGAGACTATACTGTGATTCCCGAGCAATATATTATTAACATAATTCAGTAAACATTTAGCTAAAAAAATTTAAAACTAAAGTTTTAACTAAACGCACAAACTGTTATAAAATTTTAATTGTATCTATAATTTAATCAACTAGCCAGTTAATGATTATATGGAACCATGTTTACGAGCAATTATTTATTATAACATTATTATATTATTTTTTAAACAACATTAAATTATTTAATTTAAATATAAACTCAACATAACAAGCTAAAAATTAAACTTGAAAAACTTAACAATTTCTATGAAAATTTTAAAATTTAAATACTACCATAATCATGCTAAACGTACATCTTATTGTATTCATCTAGACAATACAAACCTGGTGAATTAGGCGGTCCCTTAACCACAGAACAGCCCAGACTTTTGCCCTTCAAATCGATATAAACGTTGGCTTCGAGACAGTCGTGACCCTCGCTATCGCTGTGCGAATCGGACGGTGAGGTCGTAGTCCAGGGCGGCGACGGACTGCCACTGTCTAGGGATGAGGTGAGCGAGTGTCCGCCCCCTATACCCCCTCCCGTCCCACTGGTCAGCAGTTTCCATGTGAGCACATCCGTGAGCCGGTCCCGGATGGGGATCATCCCCACGGACTTGATTTTGAGGGTCACTTTCGCCGACGACTTCACCAAAGCTATCACGTCGTCGTGTATGGCGTGCTCTA